GCAGTCATTGTTGGAGCTCCCTACCATGCACGATACGCCGCCGGGCAACACGCAGGTAAATATAATATCATCCTGAATGAAGTTGACTAGCAGAAGTAGTACTGAGTATGCTGTGAACACAGCTCGTTGCCTTAGACACGACTGGATTTCCAAACCAGCCGTAGGTAAACTTTCTGTGGAAACACGTGTGCTTTAACTTTGCACATTTTGTTCAGGCCTTTGGAGGAGAGACCAAAACATAATGCTAGTATGTGTAGTGACCAGCACCAGTAGAAGAAAACCCACTTTGTCACTTTGAGTGCGGGTGCTGGTGAATCAAAAATGACACCAGCTGACAGTGGCCGCGAGCATTATGGTAAGAGCGTGACGTAAACAAATGTGTACCTGGTACACTGTACGCTCTTCCGCGCGCACGGAGCGCTAGACTTTTAGGCACAGTGTAGAAGCTTTGCATTTCCCAGTACGTACAGTTCATGAGCATTGTTTACAGTATTAGTAGCAATGTTTACAGCGTGAGGTGAGCAGTGTCTAAACACACTGTAATTATAAGCTGTATACATGCACACGTAGTACGGTTTACATGTATTAATTCATTTGAAACAAAGTTATGCGGCTAAGTGTATCGATCAACGCAAACGACTCCGAGTTATTCCTTAAAAACCCAACTCTACCCGATCCCAACCTTAATGAAAAGTGCCAACGCATGAATTAGCATGACCACTGATGACAAAAAACAGTACTTGTACTAGTAGGTAGAGCAATGTATTGCGCACACGTGTCCTTAATATAGATTATTTACAAAATCAAGTAATTGGCAAATCTAAACCAAATTTTTAGTCTTGTTTACATGTAGATCAGAGAAAGGTACGCAGAGGCGGTGTGTTTACTGTTACACATGCTCTAGAGTAAGCATTAAACGTATACGCCACTCCGTGACGTTGTCACAACCACTTTGTTCAGTTGCTTGGTGAGGCCGGCCAAATCTCCACACACAATGATGCAAGCATCACTGCAGTACCCGTTAGCTATCCTATTCGCATTCTTCATCACTTTGGCAGTGAATGGTGTATCTACAGGCAATCCAATCCAGACTCCGGCGACACCACCGCAAAGCCTAGACCAGCAATTAAATAATGCTCCATCAGTACGCCTCCACATCATGCTCAAGGGAAAGAATATGCAGATTCACGGACAGTCTGTCTTCGACGTATTCGCCAAACCAGTAATTTCCGCTGACCCAACAAGCGTACGCTACGACGGATTCGCCACATTTATCCAAGGGGATTCAAAGTTCACGTACATGGTCGTTGACGGCTCCGCATACGTCGTGGAGAGCACGGGAGATGACACCACGTCCGTCGCCACACGAACCGTGAGATGTCTGTCTTCAATCACACCGTTCGACTCCATCGTTGATACGCTCAACAATCTCAATACCGTATCGACCGAGACTGTCGGTGACGACAGTGAAGTGGACTGCAACAAAGGAAGCTTATACGAGACGTCATTTGGTGGCAAGCATTTCATGGTATGCGCGCCTGGAGCTGACGGATTCATCGCGTACGGAGGGGATATTACGATGGTAGTGGAGTACTTAGATAGTCCGCTAACCAGCTTATCTACCCCGAACTTGACTGATGGCAGTGTATCATGCCCCGCTGTGGTAAAGCCGACATCAGTGTCTCCAACCACAGTTGCTTTTCTGATCGGTAAGGAAGCACCACCAACTTGTGCAAGTCTTGAAAGCGACTGGATTTAGTGTGAGGTACTGGAAACTAAAAGTATTGCTCCCGTCATACAGAAGCATTTCGGAAACCCATGGTGAGGTGTAATGGCGCCGTGTCGGGGCTCGCACGGAATCCATGCACGATCATAATACAATAGATACTACTAATAGTAGTACGTACCATAGTATTTCGTTATTGATTAATGTAATACTAGGAGCTCTGGGAAGTACTCGTTTATCAACACACGACGCCAGGCGTATTAATACATGTAGTCGACTAGCAGGACCAACTCTGGAGCTGCTTCGCCGCCATCATGGCGCCTCCTCCATCATCGCCGTCCAGAGCTACAGCTGCCACCACCTTAGAGGTTGAACAGGACCACTTGCTTGCTCTGCTACAGCGGACAGAAGGAGGCAAAAGTAAAAAAAAAAAAAAAACAAAATGTAGACATATTAAACTATTCTTGCTCGTTTGTACGTGTATATTCTATAGAGCGCTAGAATCCCGAGCGGGGAAAGAGCGACAGCTTAAATGATAGTGTAGATCGTGACTAGGATTGAAATTGAATACTTCATCTCATGAGCGTGAAACAATTAAACGGCTTCTACTTGAGGTTGTGCTGATAAAATTCTATTCAGAAAGGTCATAGTAGACACTCGAACCACTTGAATGGTTTTTGCGAGTCTCTAAAAAGACTATCATGGGTCAAAAATGCCGTATCTGCGTGGTTCAACACCGGCCTGTAAAACTTGTACTCATAGCTATCTCCGAACATATTTGGATCGAGACCTCCCAAGCAGCTCTGGAACTCCACTAGACCGTCGTTTTTCGATGATTTATGTGGAATCACTGTGCCTCCAACAATGCACGAAAGGTAGAATTTCGACAAGACGCCATCGTAGAAGTCGCTGCACATGGCTGCATCCACATTCAAGCGATAAGCCTCTTGAGCCTTTTTGTATGCTGCATCTAGAGCCGGGTTGCTGTATTTTCCGCCTTCGTCAGAGATTGATTTACGAGCAGCGAAGACAGAACACTGGCCCACCCATTGCAGTAACGGGGCTGCAATTGTACTGGCCTCATCGTCACACAATTCTTGGATATAGTCTCCAGCCATGCTGCCTTTCATCGGTGCACTAAGACTCACCCACGACGTGGTGTCAGCGAATTTACACTTCCCAGTAGCGAGAGCATTCGCCATCACCACTCCACCCATCGAATGCGTCACAATAATAGTATCTGAGATGGTACCTGATGCCGCGTCACTGGTAGCGCTCATTGACAACGAGAAGTTACAGAACTTCTGCATTAGTGTGTCGTCCGTCCATCCAGCGTCATTGGTGTTTAAAACCGCGTATTTGACCGTAGTGCAACACGGAGCGTGATCTCCGATATCTCCGAACTTTTCTTTAGTCAACTTGGGCGAGTCTTGAAGGTCTGGCCTCTCGTTTGGGTTACCCAAACCATGCAGGAAGATACACGGGCGTGGGGTTGACTTACACTCGCATCGGTCCTCCTGGATTGATATAGATATAGCTTCTTTCAGATTTCTAGACACGGGCGGAAGAGCTTCACCGGTAAGCAGTGCGAGACCTGCTGAGGTGACTGGAGCAGACTTAACAACAACAGGACACGATCTAACGTCCTTCAGCATTGCTACCGACATGTTACGGATCGGATTCTGCAGATATTCCGCTGACATTGTCACATCAAGTCCGTACGCTGTGAAACCCGAAGAGCCCGATGAACACAAAACGAACTGAACTCCACCAAAGTATGTTTGGAACAGCGAATCATTTGGACACTCGACAGCTTTCCCACCGATGGACGCACTTGGAATTGGACTGATGCTGTTGAGTGCTGGCAGCATGTTCTCGAATGGCAAGATCGACGGAAGACAATGCACCTTTTGCGCGGTTGTTGAAGCACTGTCGCTAATAGAGGTTTCCACCATGTACGACACGCCATCCACGAGCATGTAGCTGAATCTGGAGTTGTCCTGGACGAAGTCGGCGAAGCCGTCGTATCGCAGTGAGTTGTCCTCAGACACGACTGGATTTGCGTATACTTCAAAGGTAGATTGACCGTGGATGTTCATGTTCCTCCCCGTGAGGGTAACACGCAGTCGCAATGCGGGCACTCTCGATAGCGATGTATGGATCTGAGCTTGCTCATCTTGTTTCGTGGGGTTCTCGAGAGGAGCGCCAACTGCTACGAGGGTCAAAAGTGCGAACGCGATGACCAAAAACGATGGAGGAAAAGACTGCATCATTCACGCCGACAGCGGTGCTAGTAATTCGAGAATGCACCAGTTAAATTCGGTTGACGGCAGAATGAAAATGTGGCATGATCGTGAACTGACGGTGAGACCTTTTGAGAGTGGGCATTACCCAACGTATGTCCAGAGCAAATGTACATGCACAGTTCATGTACACTGTTTACTGTGGTTAGTATTAATAGGTGGGGTTACGTTATGAGTTGAGCTGGATGTAAACTGTACAAGTATCTGTACAGCACATGTAGGCCGAGAGCGATGCCCATGGCAAACGAAGACCTACATAGTGAGGAAGTACTTTTACTCGTACCGAGTTATTGCTTCTAAGCGCTCGATTCAATCACAAACTTGAGCAGAAACCCTCCAGTGTTCTTATTGTAGTACAGCTTCGAAGTATATGTATACATATACAGTGCACCGATACATGTGCACTGGTGGGCGTATGTGTACAAATGATTTGCTGGTGGTGCACTGCTGACAGTGAGTACAAATTCGGAATGCGCATTACGACTCAACAACTTTTCGACACGTCGAATCGAAAGGCTGCCGCCAACAACACAGCGCGACCTACATCCCACATGTTTTCTAGGTTCTAGGGCTAAAGATACAGGATCTTACAGCAACAAATTAAATGTGAGACTGTGTTTTGATTGGAATATTGCTCGTTTTGAATGGAGCAATGATGTATGGCGATGATCGATATTTCGCGGTTTTTGTCCCAATATTTTCATGATAGGCCCGTTATCCGATCTCAAAGCGTTATCATGGACCTACTTTTACACCAAAGACTGTGCATACAGTGCCAAAATACTAGCTTACCATCGGTATAATACCGTTTACAAAAACCAAAATGTACCGCACATGCTATTTGCTTTTTATCTTACAGTAGAAGCTATAAATGTAGTCCATCTTACCTACTATTCACAGTGAACGGAATAAAATGGATGTTAATGGACATTTCACCTAAGAATAATATAAGATCATAAAGTCGCATATCTGGTTTTGGGCTTCTCTCAATTTTGATCTTGAACTTTGCAATTTTACCCAGTTCTACCGATAGGTTCGACCAAAAAATATCAGGTTGGAAGGGGTAACTGCACATCACATGTAAAAATACTTGAATAAGATTAAGTTTTCAATAGTATTTGCATTTTACAGAATATTTTTGCATTTCGTTCGTGTGGTTGTGAAGTAGTACCAGCTGCTGATGTGTTTGTTACAAAGTATTAAGTACTGTGATGCATGTTATCTTCCCATTTTGGCATGTCTAAGGAGAGATTTTCCTGATATTTGCCAATTACTGTCTACATAATATCGTGCACTGACTACTCGTACAGATGCAAATAGCAACTGGTCCTTCCTTGAATACTTACTCCAGATAAATCGCTGCCATCTGAGCGGAGGACGGGAGCATTGACTCGCGTACCGTTTTGCAAACTGAAACAACCCATTGGCGGCATGGACGTCCCCTTAATTTTCACTATTAAGACGCGGACAAGTGACTTGAGAAACCCTCGAAAGTCGAGTGGGTGTTGATAGTGTGACCGATTCAGCGCAATGGATGTTGTGTACACTTTCGGGCATAGCGTTGACGTAGACGGCGATGAATGGATCGATCTGGGGCCATTACGTACGGCGTGTGACGTGGCCGCTTCGCCAATGGTGAGTCCGGGAGCTGCGGTGAATGACGAAGTCATCAACAACCCGTTCTCTCTTCAGGCGGTAACTGAACCAGACGCTGAACCAGAACAGCCAAAGGCAGACCTCAAGAAGGAGAACCAGCTGAACCCGGAGAAGATTGAAGCTGACCCCATAGGCTCGTGTCTACCAACTCCAGCTCCTGTCAGCGCCTCCATGTCGAAAGCCGCGAGATCGAAAGAGGTGCGATGCTGTGCTGTGGAGGTCGCTCTAACTCATTGCTAATTGTTTTCTGGATGAACAGGATCTAATGGCTTTCTACCTAGGCCGAGCGAAGCAAATGGAAGCAAAACACAAGAAGATAATAGTTTCACCGACGCAGCCTACAGCTATCCACTCTGTTCAGAATTCTGAGCGTCCAGCACGTATCGGGATCTAAACCAATCAACTTGCCGGCTAAACCAATCAACTTGCCGGCTCACAGCTAGGATACCCCACAAGACGAATCTCAATAGACCCTGCGTATTACGTTTGCTATTCCATCGAAGACCACTTTGTCCAGAAGGTTTGTGTGTTATGCAGGTACACAACTAGTTGCCTGGCTGCGCATACGAACGCAGATTTAGGGTCGTTCATTTTGATCCATTCGTAAAAACAGGACCAAAGTGGTGAACACACTTCAAGAACGCAGAGCTTGGACAGGTTTACACACAAGCTTATGCGACGCATAGACCGTTCGAGACGTGAGTAAGCATCACGCGTGCAGATTTACCGTACGTTGAATAAATCTAGCCCAGGCAAAATCGCTTAGTACCGTAAGTTCATTCTAGGACATCCATGCGGTCCGTTGTCGGTCTTGCACACTGGTTAACAATCCTACAGCTTGGTCGCTAACCACACGTACAACTCCTGTTTTTGGCTTCGGAAACTCGCGTAGATACTTTGCTGAAGCCGTTCCATTGTTTTTCATCGACTGTGCCGCGAGTCTAGACTTCCCCGGAGCTGCAGACGATGCTCTTGCACGGCCCGATACTATCTTCGGAGGTGCAGTAATGGCTCTCAAAGCAGTAGTTGGACGGGGTTTAAATGTCCCCAAACTCGCCTGTCCGCTGATGCTGCTACTAGCCGTACCAGTACTTCGACTGCTGCCATTGTCGCGCGATATACTATTATTCAGTGAGCAGCCAGCTTTAACGCTTGATGCTGCTGTACGCACTCGAAGAGATGGTGTTGAAAGCGAAGCTGTTAGGTGCTGCAAAGTATTGATGATTCATAACTAACTTCATTACTAAGAAAACAGGACGCAAATATGTAATGATGCTCTTACCGTTCGAGGAATCGCAAGTGAAGATGTAGAAATCGGCGACAGTTGAGGGATTGGAATTGGCTCTGGCGGGACTTCTTCGTAATCGCGGAAGTGGAGCTCAGACATCGGCGAAGCCGGGTAGTGACCGAAGAGTAGCGGTGAACCTAGACTTGAACATCGTGGCGAATAAAGCTCGATTTCCGACGAAGCATTGAGCAAGGCGTCGGTAGCTAGACGTTGTTGAAGCTGTAATTTCATTAATATAAATGTCAGGTTTTTCGATTCAAGACTGACAACATATTTTACTTACATCAAAGCGCTTGCGAGACATGGTGGTGGCTCCATCAACCCATTCAGGACCTTCTACAACAGACTCACCCTGGAGTAAGACCACGCCTGAAGCCACACTCATTGTAGCCGCTAGGGTAGTTGCATTGAACTCCGTTCCATCAACATCAAACCGTGGGCTAGTAGCACTACCAGCTTCCATCTCGTAGTGCCAGAGACTTCTACTACTAGTACTATTGGGACTTCCAGCCAAAGACTCCGTCGAAGAGAACTTCCGAGTCATCCGTTGATGTGACAGTGAGTCACTAAGAAGTGTCGTCTTTCGTTTCTGCTGTACAGTCGAATCGCTAACGTGTGCTGACTGAGATCTTCGCTTGGACTGCGAATTTTCAGCGATACTGGACATTGGCTGGAGGCTTCGTGCGGGGGAGCTCAGGACGGATAGTCGACGGCTTGCCCGTCTTGTGGCTTCGTCACTGGGTACCTCAATACTCTCACTATGGTCGGAAATCGAAGAGAAGCTGTCCACATTGGTTTTCATGACTACAGGTGTTGCCGCTAGAGCCTCCACTACATTGGGAGGAGGAGCTGAAATCGTACCAGCCTCCATCGACACTCGAGTTTCAGGGACTGCAAATACTCGAGCAAGATTCGCCCACTTTGCAAATCCTGTCTTTTTAGTAGATGTCTCGAGAGTTTTTATACATTTGTCACGCCACGCTTTTGTTTCCTGATACAGTAGTAACAGTCAGTGAGTTCACTGTACGTTGACGAGATATCACGTACGGGATTCTCATCGTCCGGGTCTCCATCTTGCTCGATTATGTGAATAGGAGGCATGGCTTTTTCCGCTTCTCCTGGTTAAATAATTAGTAATCTATACAACATTTTAGTTAGTCAAATACATATTACCTTTGCTAGGTTTTCTCTTCCTCCGCGTGGGTGACACCACTGCACGAGATCGCAACTTATCCGGTGAGCTGCCAACACGGGAAGCTGGAGATGATGACATTTTGGGCAGTAGTGTGCTTATCGTTGACACAGACTTGTCAGGACTTTTGGACGGGACACAGCGCACCGCGTGTCGGTCTTTGACCTCAGCTTCTGGCCTACTATCCGGTTGAAATCGGTCGTCGCTCATCGTTTGTTCAGCTTCAAGAACCGCAACACAGACCGTGTCCAGAACGTTGTTCCGTAAGTGAGAGCTCACGGATCGAAATACTTCTTGAGCGAGGCATTTCTGTTGGTAGTATGCATTGGTCTCCGATAGTAAAAATTCGACGCAACTGATGGCTACAGCCTCGCTCTCGTCTTCATCAACCGCTGAGAGTTGCAACCATCGATCAACTGCCACGATCTCCATGTACGTCAGACAGTAAAAAGCACGGGCACCTTCGAGCTGCAGGACCGAAAACGCCTATTTCCAGGTTCATTGCGAGTAATGCGAGATATCAATAGCACAAACCTCCAAAATTAGTAGCTACCAAATACTTCACAACTTGATGAGGTACTTTTGACGTTACCCTTGATTTTCTCAATTGTTTTTTCGTTGACATGTACGTTGAAGTTGGTGGTAACTTGTACGGGATGAGTCATTTTGATGGCTTTGGGTTGTAAGATCAGCTGAAGCGCGAGCCACATGCTTGTCAAAAGATATCAAAAGAGTATGAAGCACTTGGAATACATAGTATTAATACCGCACATTAGGCACCATCAAATCCGCACGCCAGATCAGCCGTTGTGGTGTACGTCACATAAGACCCGTCGAATCAGATCATGTTGAAGCTGCACGTCAACTTTTCCAGACCTACAACTCCTAGTCTTCTGCTCAGTTTTACACTATCATCCGTCAACTTATTCAAGTCACCCGCCTGTCCCTGATCTTCAGGAATCGACACTTGAAGAGGCGCATACATCCACCAAGAGAAACGCACCCGCTCCTCGCACACGTCGAAGTTCCGCGAACCCGCCGCCTCCCACGATGAAGCCCAAGACCAAGCAGCACAAGCCCCGCGTGGACGCCGACGTGGCCATGAGCGACGTCTCGAGACCGAAACGCGCCAAGAAGAGCGACAAGTTTAAAGACGTACGCACGTTGTTAACTGTATAATTAGGAGAGGGAGAGTTAAAGATTATCGCTATTTCGTGGCAGTTAAAAATCGACACGCAGCAACTCAAGGATAATGCCGAGCCCGAAGCCGAGAAAGTGGCGCCACCCTCGAGCACTAGCAAGAAGAGACGTCGACGACCAGCGGCGGAGATTGATCGCAAATACAAATGTACAGTTGCTGATTGTACCAAGGTGACAATAGTATATCGTATTTATTATTTTATTTAGAGAAAAACCTGACATTTTTTTTAATTTTAGGCTTACGGCTCGGAAGGCTCATTGATACACCACCAGAAAGTGAAACATCCAGAATTGGCACAAGTAGAAGCACAAGAGAAAAAGGAGACACAGGTAAGTGGAAATCCTAACAACAATTATTGGTCATTTGACAATATTTTTATTTTTTTCAGGTCGGGACGTTCTTGTTGCCCCTCCACAATGCGCCGCGTAACGTGACGATCCGACCAGCGACGCCTTTGGTGAAGTTTGCTACGGATCCAGTCCTGCTGCTCAGCAACCAAAGCGCCAATGATACCGACGCTATCGCGTCTCCGTCCGACATTATCCCTCCATCAGCCAAAGCTCCTCGACGCAATATGCGCTCGCGTTCCAACTCGGAGCCAGTCACTTTAATCGACGCCGTGGCTGCCCCCATGGTTTCTATCGCAGCTCCGAGCTCTAACCCCATCAAAAATCGGACACGAACGCCTCGTAAACCACGTCGAGCTGCCACGCCACACCCTAAAAAACCGGTACCAACCGTTCGACGCGCCAAGATCCGCTCTAAATCCGAGTCTCTACCTGAAATGACCGCCCCATTTCAACCCCTTGACGAGCTAAAAATGCCCGTTAATCGCAGCGACAGCGTTGCAAGCGCTCACGAGGCGATTTTACCAATCACCACTATAGATTCCGGTGGTCGAGGGTCATTCGAGTGGCCTCCTGCGTCTACACACCACTCCACGTCACTGTCGAGTGACGAACAAGCCATCGACAGCGACATATTATCTGTGCTAGCCAACTGTGACGACCTCGAGGATCCTTCCGTGCTAGACTTCGGTGGCGAACCCGTTTCAACCAGCTCGTATCAATCTAATACGAGCTTTGAGGCCGAGGATACCGAAATGTTACCGGTGGGGATGGAATGTTTCAAAATTTCTGAAAATTCCACTTTACCGACCGAAGATCCGCACCCTTTTGTAATGAACGAACCGGAGGCCGAGCTGGGCTTGAAAGCATTTGCCACACTCACGGACGACTGGGCTAATGCCTTGCATCTGTCGACTCATTTGGAGAAAATGTCCATGGCGCAGGTAGATACGCCACCTTCCAGCTTGGAATCGTTCGGAGCGGGAGAAGCCACGGTCGGTAGACTGCGGTCAGCATCAGATCCGGTTCACATGGCCGTTCCTATGCATCCTGTGGGGTTAACTCACTTTTCGTCAATGCCTGTGGACGTTTTCGCACCTAAAAGAAGTTTAACCACTGGCGAAGACCTGATGGAGCAAAATGCCTCTTTTCAGCAATGGTTTAGTGTGACGGAACCTGCTAAAACGACGAATAATTCGCTCTGGTCAAGTGAAGTCGACATTGCTACTGCAACCGACTCGCAGCCGACGTCAGCAGCTCTTGATGAATTGTTGCAGCATGATGACGCAGTGGAATGGAAAGCTGCGAATGTTTTCGAGGGCGATACAGACGTCGACTATGCGTTAGCTGATGCTGCAATTCCGTCGACACTGCTCTAGACGTGACAGGTTACCCGGACAGCCAGCAGACATTGTGGACTGGCATAGTGGTTGTTATATCATTTGTCGAAGTTGTATAGGATGTTCGCTCCAAATGTGTAGTGTTTAAACAAAACAAACATCTAAAACCCTGTGTTTATACTCGTAACGATGCTTATATTCCATCTATAGATAACGACAAGTCCCATGACCCTCAAGAGACGTTACTTTGGTGGGTTTAGCGTTATAATTTGCTCTCCATGACTACACGAGAGGATGTCGTTGTCTCCTCTTCTGAGGGCTCTCGAGCTCCAGTGCATCAGAGGCTTCACGATGGTTTCCGAGCAGACCGGCGATATTTGTCACAAATGGTGATGGAGGCTCAGAACGAGCGTTCAACTCGAGTTGAAGCGGTTTTGGAGCTCAAGAAAGACTTGGACACGTCTGCTGCGAGGATTGGAGCTCAAAGTGCTGCTATTCAAGCTCGAGATCAAGCCGAAAAGGCTCAACAAGCTCGAGTGCATCAGGATCTATTAGATCAGGGTAAAAACCCGTACGAGGTGACCAGACGTAAAGTGGTGCAGCGAGAAGCGCGCAAAGAGCGATCACGTATTGAACGCAATATTCAAGACCGCGAGACGAAACTTTTAGGTCGAATTGAAGCGGAAAAGTTCATTCAGAGACGACGCGAGAAGATTGAAGCCGAACATCGAGCGTACGAGAGGAAATACCAGCGAGAAATGGGTCGAGCAGCTCAAGAAGAACGCACAAATGCCTATTTGTTGTCCCGAACTGGTAAAGAATCGCTGGATCCTACTGGTAAACTGGTGCGAGTGTATCCATCTCAAGAGACAACGATCAAGGACAACAGTTTTGGCCTCGGACGAAGCGCTGTTTTAACGCCGAAACATCGAAAACGTGTGGTTGAAAAGGTTTTATCCAAAGCGACTCATACTGCAACAGAGGCAAGCTCGATGCTGCTACCTCGAAGACACAGAACGCAACAAGATTCGGACGATCCAGCAACTAACTCTAGTAGAACTGAAGGAGAAAAAACAAGTGCTGAAACGGTTTTTATTCCGTCGCTTCCTGGAGTAAAACCAGGGCAGGATTCACGTAAAGTAAATCACGCTCTCTTGTCAAGTAGCGATGTAAAGCTTCCACCGATTAGAAACATTTCGAAAGACCATCGACAAGAAGATGAAGAGAACCAGGACGTGTCTGGATCAATTAAACGCAAGCCAAGAACTCGCAGTGTATTGGAGGAGCGACAATTGACAAAAGCTCGACAACGACAGAAAGATTCGCGGTTTACTCAGTCCCAAGTTGTGTGGGGTAAGACGTTCAGTGGGAAAGCATTCCTGGCCAATCCTTCGGTACTTTGGTTTAAAGATTTCGACGTGAATCGTGCTTTTACTCTTGGTTTTACGCTCACGAATGTTTCAAACACATTTAACCAGTTTCGGCTACTACCGATGGACGAAGAGGTGATCGAGTTGTTTGATATCGTGTATGAAAAACCCGGTCGTATGTCTGCTGGAATGAGTTGTCTATTGAAAATGACGTTTACGGGTACAGAAGAGCGAGACTTGGAGACGACGTTATCTGTAGCGTCTCCCACTGGGGTTTTTCAACTACCAGTTCGATGCACCTGTAAGAAAGCTGTGCCGATTCTAGCACAACGTGAGGTTCATTTTCCAGAAATTGTGGCTGGAGAACGTAAGACCGTCAGTCTGACACTTGCGAACGAGGGAGCACTACCGTTAGAATACCGAGTACGCCGTCTACTGGCAACAATTGAACCAGAGCCGGTGTCTAGCGTGGCCCAAAATGAGCTGGAAACTAACGATAAGCCTACTGAAACTACTGAGGACGATGCAGATGTTGATATCGAGAACACTAATGATGCTGAGATACAGAATGATGACATTTCCAACGAGAACCCTCAAGAAGACAGTGGACAAGCTGTAGAAGACGCTGATAGTGCGAGAAACCTCCAACAAATAATATCTGATGAACCACGTCCTGTGTCTCGTACCACCAGTGCAGCGTCAACAAAACTATCAACCGATAACCAGCCAGAAGCTATTGAAGATGTTAATGATCCATTTACCTCAGATGAGCAAGAGTTAATTGATCGTGTGCTTGAAACAACAGTATTCAGTCCTGAAGGTTCTGACGAGCCAATCCGGTTTACAGGACGAGGTGTCGTTGCTCCATATTCTAGCAGCTCAGTATCGTTTACATTCGCACCCGTTGCTGCCATGAATCTAAACAACCAGCCGTTTGTATTTGAATTCCCGACTCCATCATCTGGAATCTCTTCGCCAGATCTTCGATTACTGGCGGCCATTCCGGTTCAAGTATCGGGTGTTGCCGCGCAAGTTCCGATCTTTGTTTCTCGCTCACAACTGGACTTCCGATGTTGCGCGTATGGGAAGCTCTATCGCCATCAATTCATTATCTGTAATCGCGGTAAAGTTGCTCTTAAAGTCCAGATACAAGTGCCCAAACCGTTGGTAGGATACGTCGAATTCAACCCTAGCTTTGGGTTCGTACAGGCGATGGCGTTAGAACAGGGAATATTTTCCGTGCAGGTGAAATTCCGTCCAGAAGTTAAGATGTGGAAACGAATCGAGCGCGCTGGATTGGGCTCCCGTGAGCTCGGAATGCTGGCAGTTCCGGTTCAAGTACTAGTGCCCGATCAAGTGATTCCTGTCTTCTTCTTACTCACCGCGAGACTGACACCTACTGAACTGCTTATTAAGACTGGGAACCCTGATAAAGGACTTCATTTCGGGGCATGTTTTATTGGACAGAGTGTTAGCCACCAGCTTACAATTTCCAATACTGCACGAGTTCCGCAACGTATTGGCGTTACCTTATTACCGAAAGATGTGACTGTAGCCGACGTATCAGGAGGAGTGGGGATTGTGTTGTTACCGGGTGAGGAACGAACGTTGCGCGTTGTGTATACACCGAGTTTTCCGGGTGTTCTTAAAGGAGCTGGTACTATGGGACGGTTAAAACCTGTTTTAACATTGTGGTCATCGACGTTTAATCACGAGTATAATTTGCCATGTTCAGGCAGTGGAGTGGCCAGTGACCTGGTTTTCTCTCACTCTGCTGTTCGTCTTGGTGCGACGTCATTGGGTCAAACACAAACGTGTAACGTTAAATTGACAAACCAGTCAGATCGACATACCCGTCTGGTAGAATTGAGATTGCCAATTGAAGCTGCATCGTTTTTGAGAATTACTCCGCTTGTAACACGTTTGAGACCACGCGAGTCTGTACGTCTGGAAATCGACTTTGAACCTACTGACGACATATTCAAGCTGGTTAAAACGTGTTATTACGAGGCGAAATCGACCGAAAATGGCTCAGTGGCCTCTGCACCATGCGTTCGCGTTGAGCTGACTACAGAGGACCCAATCGATCAGGACGGACCTCGTAGTTGTCATTTTACGTGGACTATTCTGTGCTTCCATCAGGTCGAAGGGACGACTGACGACAGCGAATGCACGTCGTTCCCAGCTTTGGAAGTCCGAACAACCGCAGTGGAACCTTTTTTTATTCCTTCAACAACTAGTATGGATTTCGGGCAGGTGGCAATTGGTCAGGCTCTACTCCGTGATCTCATTCTTGAGACGACACCTAGTACTACTGAGAGCGTATTAGTACGTGCTCAACCACTGCATATTTTGGGTGCTTTTCGAATGATAGGAGCTTTACGTGAGGTCCCAGCTGACAAAAAGAAGCGAGCTATTCGTATTGAATTCGAGCCACGCACTCCGTTGACGTATGAAGATGAACTGGAGCTTTCAGCTTTGGGGGTAAATATCCGAGTTAACCTTCGTGGGATAGGGATTAACCCTAGTTTATCTCTCACTCCTGAAGACGGGAACGTGGATTTCCAAGACGTATTGGCGCGTACACGTAATCTACAAGAACTGATATTGACAAACGGTAGTGCCTTCCCATTGGCCTTCTCAATCATCGCAGTAGATGATACCGAGGTGTACACAACCTCGACAGGATTGCCGGTGTTTACGTTCTCCCCTACCAGCGGTATCATCCCTGAGAATGGCTCTTTAAACGTACAAGTCGTCTTCCAGCCAGACCACCAGAGACCGGACCATTATTCTCAACGGTTCCGTATCAAAGTGCCCAATGAAAGTGAACAACACGTTGTTAGTGTCTCTGGTCGCTGTTGGGAGAACCAGCTATATGTGTTTGCCCCCGCTGCAGAAGCTGTTGAACCAAGCGATAGAGAGCCACTATTGACGCTCCAGCCAGTGGACGATCTCTTCGATCTCCCTCCTAGTATTTCGCTAAGCCAACTGCCATTAAGTATGGGAGTTAACGACCTACCAGCTTCGGGACTACGTAAATCATCGACCTCGTTTGTGGTTACGTTTACTGGAGACGAAGTTGATGTTACAAAAGCCACAAAGACTCTGTTCGTTGGTAGCACAACACCGAGTAGTGGAGTCTATGGTGGACTCGATGAAGGCCCTGTTAGTACGCTTGGTGGCTCTGCTGGATCGTTTGAACTCGTTGTGGATGCCTCATCGCCTCACGCGAAGTTGTTTACCTTTGAACCTGCACGCGGTGCGATCGCTGCTGGCCAACAGCTTGCAGTCCAAGTAACGTACAACCCACCAGTAGCGGACACAACCACGTTATCAAGTTCTGCAATTTCTGGGCCCACAAAGTCAGTGCAGCGTCGGCCTGAGTTGGAAGTGCGGCAATGGGTACAGGTTCGAGTGCAATGCGTATTGAAAGGTGGAGCGCTTTGGCGTACGTTGCCTGCGATAGGAGCGGGTCCAGTACCCGTGATG